GAATAAATTCATAAACCAATGCATTTCCGCTCGGTCGGTGAAAAACAATGTGACGCTGAGGAAATATTTCTACATATACATATTTGTGTATGCACATACAGTCCAGCTGTCAGCGTCGTATTCATCCGATCTCTGAACGCTCAATAAGTTACGTAGTAGTCTTACCTAAAGACCACAGCTAAGCAGCATCAACTCAAGTCTCATAATATGATCATAGATTCTTTATCAATCAACCTTGATGCTACTTCCACTACCTTGTTTGCGCAACGGGACAAGTTCGGTATTCGGGATTGCTCCTTTAACCACTTAGGTATTTTGACAAGGGCCTGATAGCAAATATGAGATAAGAAACATATAGCTGCGATAACACTGCCTAAGCAGCTAAGTCATGTCTTCTGAAAGGGTTTCCAAGAATTATCCCTTAAATTCAAATTTTTATTGCTATTGTTTCCTTTCATGCAACCTCCTTTCATACATAGAATCCGTGACACTATTCAGGGCGAGGGCCAATTACATATACTACCTAACTTAACAATATCCCATAGGATATCTTCAAGGAGAGTTAAGTTTCCCGTAATTCCCCGCTATCCTTACGCGGTTCAACCTCAGGACCAGAATAGAAGAGCTAAAATCCTTTCGGTCTTTAGTAACCACTAGGTTAAGTTGCGCTTACAGAAAAATCTGTTTTAACTGATTCTACGTACGACAGAATTTCGGTACGAACATTTACTTCATTCTTTATGAATGTTATGTTAGAATCAATTCTGTGTAATAGAGTAGCGTCATCTTCGCTGTCATATTAACTCTTGAAGAGTAGCACCAAACAGCAATATAACCATAAATCTTACGCTATACAGAATCTTCACGCCACACATACGCAAAGTGCCGGACCCATTCACATATTACTGTTTCTTCGGTCTTATCTTATTCTAAAAGCTACCTAAGTATTGCTATTTAGATTGAATCTAGAAACGACGGCTGCGTTAAGCTCCAAAAGGGTGCTATGAGTTTTATTGCCCTTTTTTAACTTCAATGGGCCTAGAGCACACACCTTGAACACAATACGCATTATATGCTTATGTTAATACTTAACAATTCATTGCATATGTATTAGAAGACATGGTAAGATTGCTTAATACGTTATGTGGACTTTGTCTTCGATTCTCATTCTTACCCCTATTGACCGACACTGCATATTGACCTAGTGCAATTGTTTGCAAGTCGTCAGAGAACTAGCACCCCGGTGAATCGATAGGAGAAAATCTTGCTACCATGCGCTGGGGCGCTGGTGTCGATGGCAGCAATATTGACTTTGTCCTGGGCTCGTCACTGGTAGAGGGGCCGAAAGTGAACGCCAGCTTCCAGCATGTCTTCCAGCACATCTTCCAGCACGGAATTGTACAGCTCAATCTCCTTGGTTTCTAGAATTGTATTACAATTAACCCAGAGTTGTTAGCTTTTTTTGCTAATTATTTTCACATCTTTTTATTTATTTTATTGGGATAGATTCAGTATGTTCACGAGCATCCTTATCCGAGTGTAAAATGTAGAAGACAAAGGTCACTCACCTCCCGAACAGTAAAAAAGTACGTGGCAGCTGCGTGGTCAGTTAAACCAATAGCATCAGTAAATGAGATACATAGTCTCAGCGTCCCGGTGATATGGGTGCATGAATCTGAGACCATTAGCTCGGATGTGACATCGGGTGTTTCCACAAGGCGGCATCATCCAATCCCAATCCCCATAACCTTATTTCCATTGTCGGTTTTTACAGTTACGGCCACTCCATTCCAATAGTGGCGATCGACCTTGATATAGACCCCTGTCTATTTACATCAAACCCGCAGACCCGTCAGCATTCTGGACGAAACGAGTTAATGGTGTCAACTTGATGAAACCAACTTGTCTTACGGCACGTCAGCCTCACGAAGAAATACAAGAGTTAATACATGTATTCAATAAGATAGGTACGTATTAAGAGCTTAGGCTATGCAGATGATAGGATGATTGTAAACGGTGGGTGCGCATGTCTGAGGCCACATCCGACAGCTTGTCGTAGATCCCCTTCTACCCCCTCCCCCCTTGCGTCTTTTAAATAACCCGTCGCTCTTTATTTTTTTTAAAAAAAGTTTCTGAGAAATATCCTAGTCTACGCATATTGTATGTCTTAGGCCGCTCTTGAATGTGAAACTGACGTTCGGATTTTATTTCAACGGCTAGTGCATGCCCTCGATACTTCCGATCGATGCTCAGCTATGTACAATGTCGCTACCAGGCGATAATAAGCGTGTGGAAAAGGATTCTGCTCTAGAATCTGATCAAGAACAGAGTATAACGGAGGACAAAATAGAAGCCATTGCTGATTCAGTAAGTCATGGTCTTGTGCATCATTTCCCCCCTGGGCCATTTCTTGCTCACATTATACCAGGCCCAGCCTCGAAAAGTCGAAACAGCAAAAAGTCATGCCAGCAGACGAAGCAGAATATCTCAATTGGTCCACGAGCCCAGCAACTCTCACAAGAAGGATAATGTCGCACCTACAATTCTTCCCGAGTCCGACCTCGACCGCGGCTTTATTGGCTGGGAAGGCCAAGATGACCCAGCTATGCCTTTGAATTTCTCGTCGTCGCGAAAGTGGGTGCTTGTGGCTTCTTTATCCATCATCACCTTCATGTCGCCTTTGTCGTCGTCAATCTTGTCACCTGCAATCGCCGACTTAAATAAAGAGTTTCGCAATTCAAACATCACCATAGGCGCATTTCCCGTTAGTATATACTTGCTAGGCTATGCCGTCGGGCCACTCTTCTTGGGACCTCTCACGGAAATATACGGTCGAGCCCCTATTTTGACGATATCAAATTCCTTCTTTTGCGTATGGCACGTGGGGTGCGCTTTAGCACCAAGCCTAGATTCCTTGATTGTTTTCCGCTTTCTTTCGGGAGTCGGTGGCAGCGGTTGTTTGAGCTTCGGAGGTGCTATAATAGGCGATCTCTTTCCAGTTGTCGAACGTGGAAAAGCTCTTTCCTTATGGACATTAGGACCCCTCGTCGGCCCTACTCTAGGACCCTTAGTGGGAGCATTTATTACAGGATCTATCGGATGGCGCTGGGCCCCTTGGATTGTGCTCATCCCATCTGCGACTTTTACGATTATTATTGCGCTAATTCTACCAGAGACGAACTATAAGGTCATCATCGAGAAAAAGGTCAACAGAATGCGAAAGGAACTCGGCCGGGATGATCTTGTCAACTATTATGAGACATCGGTTACGATGTCCCAAGTTGAGATATTAAAAGCTGGATTATTGCGGCCGCTGAAATTACTCGCTTTCGCTCCAATTATATCCTTACTGTCGATCTACGTCTCGTTCATTTACGGCTCAGTTTATTTGATGTACAACTCGATCTCGCCAACCTTCGAAGACCAATACGGGTTTTCTACTGGTGTCACCGGCGTCGTTTATCTATCCATGGGACTCGGCTATTTGGTTGGTCTATTCTTATTTTCCCATTTTTCCGACAAGACAATCAAACGTCTTACCAAAGTCAACAATGGCGTCTACGAACCAGAGATGCGGCTGAACCTCATAGTCTATTTTGCATGTATAAGTCCAATAACGTTTTTTTGGTATGGTTGGACGGCCTACAAGCAGGTTCATTGGATCGTGCCGATCATTGGTTTGTTTCCCCTAGGTCTCGGCATCATTGGCGTGTTTATACCTACGCAGGCGTATATCGTCGACGCATACACTTCGTACTCGGCATCAGGGCTCGCGGCCTTTACAGTGTTGCGAAGTACTATTGCTGCTTTCCTGCCTCTTGCTGGACCTGCCTTGTTCGCAGATCTGGGGCTGGGCTGGGGGAATTCGGTGTTGGGGTTCATAGCGATTGGCTTGATCCCTATACCTATCATCATTTACAAGTTCGGAACGACGCTAAGGAAACGATATCCGGTGAATTTATGAGGGTCTGGGAAGATTTTAGTGTGGTGGACACAGATTGGCAGAATCGTACCCAGTTTTCTAGTGTTATAGTTCCTCTAGTGTTATAAGGAACTTACTAACTTGGAAATGGAGTGATTATAATGACTTCGGTACGTAGCCCAGAATGCCTAGCTTACATCCTACATTCAATTTTTTCCACCTGAATAAGCATAATAGAAGTTCGCTGATCTCGTCATTTAGTGTTCTAGATCCTATATTAGCTGTGAAATGGGTGATTACAATGAGGTAGCCCCTATGTAGGACATAAGACGATACCTCTTAGTTCCCGGATGAAAGTAATAATCAAATATTCAAATACTGACAAGGATTCAGTCCCTCATACAATAGACTTTGTGCTTGTTCACTGTGATTCGCTTGGATGTTAATGTGAAGGGTTCCTAAGTTGTATTATCGCTAATACCGTTCTGAAACCATCGCGAGGCACCCAAGTATCTCTCTTCTTCCTTATAGGCCTTGTTATGTTTGAACAATGAATAACGAGAGGAGGGCAGACAGAATAGTCGTTGCCGATAGTTAGGGACGAAATATAACGAGTTTTGTAGTATTTGCTGGCTTGCCTTTGTGTGCGACATGTAACGGAAAGGTAGGGATATACGTATTACGATATAGTTCTAGAGCTCCATACACAGAAATGTATAAGTACCTACCTTAAGTCATTTCGTCGACAGGGTGTTATTCCTCGGTGATCGAGCGAGAAAATTATATCATTTGCTATTATGTTAAGCACCTACCGTACATGTTGCAATAGTATGATGAGAGATGAACTATAAGGGAGAGCGAAGGATGCATTATTATTTTTGAGTGGGGGCTCACTGGAGAGAAAATGTACGTTGTGATTTGTACCGACCTACAAATTACCCTAGAGAAGCGACGACATACGTACCTTCCTAACTAATCCAGCACGTCCTTCCCGTCGCTTAGAACGATAGAACAATAAATATTCAAATTGTTTCCGTCGATACTAACTAGCGTTGTCTGATCAACGCTCGAATGGCCAGGTGCTTTAGAGAAGTGGTTAACTCACTCCCTTCGGGCTCAAGCTAATGTGGGAGAGATCGGGGGTTCGAATCCCCCAAGCACCCCTTTTTGCATTTTTATTTTTTATTTTTTTCGCCCTCTGCCCCTATTTCCTACAAATCATTCACAGTACCCCATCCCCCTTCACTACTAAACATTTGTTCATTCAATACTACTAGGATGAATTGCATGCGACCCCTAAAATCATTCCCAGACGGAGCACCAACTAACGATGCTTTATGCGACAGACTGCGCCTTGAGCTATCTGCGCACGTACCGTGTCAACTCATATGAAATCAATCACACCTAAGTCATTTTATCCTGCCGACCTTTTCTGTGTTAATGGCTTCGTGGTGTAGTCGCGGTCGAAGGAGTGGAGGGTATCTCGCAGGATACTGTTAAAGTTGGTGCATGCACTAAAAACGAAATAAAGGTAATGACCTCAAGATCGCCTAGGCCCTCGAGAGCCATGGCACAATTGTCTACAATGTCGGATGTTGGACGAAGACGCTGAAGAAGGCTGCGAGTACTGCCAAATACAACAGATGCGTCATTTATACCGTCACCCCAACGCTTACTATTTTGAGACGAGGATGAGCCACCCCACGAGTGAATCCAGCCATGCTTTACGTAGGCATATGCGGTGATTTCTATCGGTATGCTCTATGCGATAGTTTCGTTTTAGGGGCTAGTAGATGTAGGGAGCAAGAGAGTGAATTGGGACTTAAATGAAGAGCTACATAGTTTCCACAGCGAGTGTAGGCATTTAATCGTGTGTCGGCTTCGGGGTTGTGAATGGGAATAGCACCGCCGCGGTCACGCACATGATGAAGTAGCTTGGTATTGTGATTGTGCCTCAAAGGGTGGGAGTAATCACTGTGCTAGGATGTATGTCTTCATAGCACATACCAACGAGACCAGCTCATCATACCTCTAGTGGATCTATTAAATTGACAGAAGTTGGAATACTAGAACTCGGCATCAAGATACAATCCGAGATTCCATGCCCAGAGAGGCTCATTCTCGGGGAAAGACTCAGAGGCGAGGATATTGCCCTAGCGGTGCTATTCATAGCCAGCCGGACTGGCGCGTATATCATACAATCAACTCTTGGTACAGTATCCCGAAGTATGCTGTATGTGGAACCGGTAACTTTAAGGATCATTCCACTATCTCACAGGCTACGCGCGCCAATGGGCAAGGGCTTGTAGCATGCGCATGTGGCATCTTACGATGCTAATGAGCACTCTGCTAGACACGCAAGAAGTGAGCCTACGCACTACGTAGGTCATGTGAAATCCTTGGGTCGTTGATATTTAAGGGGCTCTTACGCATACGTACCTACCTAGGTACAGGGTATTAAGCAAAACAAATGGAAACAAGGGACTGGGCCCGCTTGCAGGGTTACGCTAGGAGATCGGAAGATCACAAGGCGGCAAGACCCGGCGATGCCACGTGCGGTTGCACCCGGTAGCTACCTATGCCTAAACTGGGTCTAATCAGCCGACCTTAATAGGCAGTTTTAATCCAAAGCGGAACTGGAGCCAAGGTTTCTCTTTTCAATCATTCGTGGCTTTTCTTCTAGGTACTGAAATACCTGCCTATGTAAGGTAATCGGACACGGCACCGACAATGCACTCTTCCCCGGATTTGCGCCCCTCCAATGTTAAAAATAGGAAGCTGGCGATGCGGAGACCGGGGTCAGTGTCGGACACTGCACCGACGAACTTGTTCCTCATGGATTCGAATACGAAAATAAGGGTTGTCCTACGGGGCCGTGGTTTCACCACCGATACCAAGTCTAAGTTGGAAAGATATAAGTGTTGATACCGATGTCTCTCAACTATCCTGTTTCTCAAAGCCTCAAGCTTACCTTCCCTCGAGCCACTCAAACTTCTAAAGGGAATCCAGAGTAATGGCGACGTTCAAGTGTCTGCTCCTAGCCTATGCGGCTTCTAACGTTGCGGCATTCGTCCACCCGGGACTGCTGCACACGACCGAGGATCTGGATCGTATCAGGAATCATGTTAACAACGCCGAGGAGCCTTGGAATACAACCTGGCAGCTACTCACAAGCAACTCCCACGCGCAGTCAACGTATGAGCCTAGTCCACAGGAAGTCGTCTATCGGGGATCTGATGGCGTTCACGCTGAAAACTACCCGAAGCTTTACAACGACATCCACGCTGCTTACCAGCTGGCGATTCGCTGGCATGTCGAGCAAGCGACTGAGTATGCCGACGCCGCTGTCAACATCCTCAATGCATGGTCGTCCACCATGACGGCCATAGGCGGCAGCAGTGATGGCTTTCTCGCGGCTGGCATTTACGGGTATCAGTTGGCAAATGCTGCTGAACTGATGCGCTCCTACAGCGGCTGGAACAGCACATCGCAAACCAACCTAAAAAATCTACTTGTAGATGTCTTCTATCCCCAGAATTACAGATTTCTCACAACTCATAACGGTCAAGATGCGTACCATTATGTAAGAAAGTTTCTATAACTGCTCCGATATCAACACTTTGCTAACCAAGGTTTAAGTGGGCTAATTGGGATTTCTGCAACACTGCGAGCATAATGGCCATTGGCGTCTTGACCGACAACCAGACCATGTACGATTGGGGCCGGGACTACTTCTTGTACGGGGATGGTAGAGGTGCTATCAACAATTTCATCTACAAGAATTACACCGAAGATGGAACTGGCAAGATTCTATCCCAGGGTCAAGAGGCAGGAAGAGATCAGGGTCATGCGACGCTGGACCTTGCGCTCTTGGGCGCCATTATGCAGCAAGGGTACAATCAAGGAGATGACTTGTATGCGGCCTTGGGCAATTCCGGCTTGGCTGCGTAAGTGGCGTCTTCAATTCCCAACAGAAAAATGAGTCGCGAGAAATACTGACAATGTGGCTACATATAGGTCAGAATATGTCGCCAAGTACAACACAGGCTACGATGTGCCTTACACTTGGTACGACAGCTACCTTGGAAACCAGACCGAGATCAGTGCTGCTAGTCGCTATACCCACCGGCCCGGCTTTGAGCGACTGTATGCCCATTACGCGGATATAAAGGGTCTAGATGCCTCTTGGACGAAACTGTACCGAGACCAGACTAATGGCAACAGTACTGATGGCGTTGAAGGTGGCGGCGGCAACTACGGTGGCAATAGTGGTGGCTATGATGACCTAGGGTACGGGACGCTATTATATCGACTCACGGCTTGAATAATTTCAATCGCCCTCGTCGTATATTCATTCACTTCTTCAATGTATCTTAGTAGGGAAACAATGGTAAATTTACATAACATACGCGGAAGTTAGCGAACGTCGAGGTGACTTCAGGGGCTAGACCAGCTCTTCATTTAATAACAAGTATGTAGGTACCTAGGTATGTAGGTACCTGACTTGTTAATTATGTCAACACTTTCAATTCCCGGGTTAAAAAAAAACACTACCTCCACTAAAGTGCATCTTTAAGTGAAAAGTAATACTTACCTAGGTATCTAGGTATGTGTTCTAACCTGTGAGGAGTAGAATTGTATTGTTGTAGAATTAAAAATTTTGCAATTTATTGTTTAGGGGGCCCTATGATATGTACCTGTGTTGAATAAAGTGGTACAGAACACCCGTGCCCAATGAGCTGATATGAGCTTATCAGATTCAGAGACACTTTTACGGGTGGCGTTTGTAATATTGGCATTTTTATCACTACCCAGTTGTTTGCAGATGATTCTTCTCCTCGAATACGTAACTTTTTCCTGGTCATAATTATATTATTTGATACAAATATTGTTCGTGTCCAACTTTACTTCGATTCCCCTTCAATCACCAGCATTCATAATGGACGATTCCCAAGAAAAATGGGAAGAAGCGGAGTGGGGAAAACACCGGCCGGACTTCGTGGTGGCGCGTGTCGCCGCGAACTGGGCAACTCGCCTGGCAGAATACTGGGCAGAGCGAGCTGCTAAAGAAAAAGGAGAGCAGATGTCTCAGCAACGATCAGACAATGAAAAAAAGTTGGAATATATCCGCAAGATACGCATTGGCACCGAATTCCATGGATTCAGTGAGTAGCAACCATGTACTCTTACAATCTAGAGAAGCGATATTTCCCTGCTGTTGCGTTTGAAGATGCTTCTTTGAAATTCGACTTCTTTCTCTAACTGATTTGAAATGACAATTTTTGCTGACTTTGGATACTGCAGTGCACCTCCCTCGTGAGATCCGCGACATGATTTACGAGTGTCGGTTGCTGAAGGGGACCATTTTCATGCCAAATCACCGTGATGTCTACGACGCCAAGTACAACTTGAGATGTATGTACGATTTTCACGGGCGCATCTATCAGCGCTATGAAGGTATTCCACATGACTGGGGGCACCAGCATATGATCTCAGATCCAAGTACTCGAAACGGTTTAATTTGTGGCGTAAGCCGTACTGTTCAAAGGGAGGCCGCACGTATCTTCTATGGACGTAACCGCTTCGTCTTTCCATATGGGAACATAGGATTCGACATGTTCTATGGACGTGTGGACCTCCCAATCTATCGCAACGTTGGGCGTCAACTGCGAGACGTGAGTTATACGTTTGATATGCGAGAGGAAGGGTGGTCGGACTACTATCACAGGTATAGTGCGCCCTTCCGACCAGACGAGGAAGAGGGTGTAGCTGAAGGAATAATCCCGGAGATATTTCTCCAAGAGATGCACCTCACTAGAAAGGACAGCCTAGCGAGCCTATGGGAGGAGCGTGTGCAGGACTTGAAGAGCTGGGCGTTGAATCGGCTTCAAATAGATTTCGAGGAATGTTACTGTGGTATGGGATGTTGTAGAATGGTTGACCATATTGTGGACATAATGGTGAATTTCGACCGCGTGGGGCCTTGGACGTTTATGCCGCCAAAGATTATCGAGATTCTGGGATGGAACGACAATATTGAGAAGAAGATGATTAGGGAGGCACTGGAGACATTGTCATCCGATGAGAGACTAGTCGAAGTCCGATTTGTGGGAAAGTCAAAGGCCGAGGTCAGAGCCGAGATGCGGAGAGGAGTAGCGCAATT